GCACCCACACGGCTCGCCCGAGCCGCGTCCGGATTACCGATCGCGATCGATGCCTCGAAAGAATCGGAGAGACTATCCGTGTTCCTCCTGCGAGCTCGATTCACGGCCTGATAATCGTTCGAAGACGACGGAGCTACAGTGGACTCTGTACCCCGCTTTGTTTGGACCGAGTTAAATCATTTTCTGTTTTGACAGTAGGGTGTGAAGACCTCTGCGCAGGAGCGACGCGATCCCGCTGCGATTGTTTTCGAGTAACAGAGGAACAAAGTACTCCGCGTTGATCGGTTCACGGTACGGTTAGTGTTAACCCTCTGTAGGCTCATGTAACTTTGAAGTCACATATCAGTATATTTTGCACTGGAAGTGGTAAATAAAATGAAGTAATCAGTTAACTTCAACTTTTGTATGCTCAAGCGTGAAAGTTTAACGTCATTGTAACTTGAAAGTTACAAAATATATTCGTTTGATGAAATTATTGAAACTATTGAGTACATTCTTAACTTGTATTCATATGTGGATACTTATTAATTTTGTACTGCATAGATTTTGTTATAATCATGAACAGAAATTCGGCCCATAGAGGGTTAATAATATTTACGATGTAACACTTTTTTTGGACAAAGTCAGTTATCTCTACCCGACTTACCCTAGATGTACTATGCGTTGTTCAGGAGATGAGTCCTGAAAGGGATTCGGGTGTAATTGGTCAGCTTTCGTCTCGTCTCATCAGATTTTCGATAGTAATCTGTTATTCGTCGATATGGTTACACATGACATTCAAAACCATGAACAACACTCCTGCCAATAACGGGGCTCATGTCCTGAACAACGTACAGTACTTAAGTTGCTGCAAATTTTCGGGGAATCCTTCAACACGGGAATTTACGTTATTTTCGTAAAGCTTTACATTCATAAGGTTGTAAAAAGTATTAATGTTGAGCAAGAATGTTGAAAAAAATAATGAAACCGATAGCTCAGACTTATTTGCGACTTTTTTCATAGTTACCGGAAACCTTTACAGCAACCACGTAGAAGTAAAAGTATTTGTGATCACGAGTGAAACTCATCAACGTAGTGTAAGGGATTAATGTATCTGCAACTTCTTATTACGTTGCTTTCGACAAATATCACCTGTATCTCAAGAGAAATTGTGGAATATTTCTAGTGAAATACTTTCGGAGTACAGCGGGATAAATTCTATTTGAAATCTTCGTTGCAAGTCTGACATGACATTGTATGGCAATTGTGCTTACTAAACCTATTTTATCGTTAGTAATTTAGTAGAAGAACAAATTTTGATGCTTCTTCTGTGCCTACATTTACTCCAAAGGCTAAAGATTGATGATAGACCAGTACTATTAACGTTTAGATCTGTCGAATATGGTTGAAAATTTTCATCGCGAGTCTGACTCGTTAGGGGTTAACACTTTGACTGCCACGGCGGTCACCGATGACCGGAGCTTTCAAATTACAAGAAAATAATTATGACTTGGAAGATAATTGATTTCGAATAGAAATTTTCTGTAACGTAAATAACTAGATAATAGAGTAATATAAAACTTTTCATATCAAAGAATTAATAATTCTTGCTTTGCATCTTTGCTATAGAAAGGATAAGTGATACATAAAACGCTGATGTTTTTTGTGGCAGTCAACGTGTTAATACTACGTTATTATATGCCTCTTTTTCTTCGTTGCTATTTAGTAACGATTTGAGATGTATGGCGTCCACGTAGCTGTTCGCGAGCATTTTACGAGCAACTCGCCAAACATGTCGGCAGTGTGAACAGTTTTACGAACAGCGAGCAGGGAACTTATCAACGAACAGTATTCGCTCGAAAAGAAGTACGTCAAACGAGCTGTCCGCAAGCTGGAAATGTATCTAGATATGTCTATAATATTGGATTTTACTAAAGATTTTGTAACTAAATCCACGGTTTTATATGCCTGAACAGTGAAGTATTTAGTAAAGAAACAATATTCTCTAAATTTTTCGAAAGATATTTAAAATTTTTATACATAACACATAGTACTGACTAAAACATGATACATACTCACGTATCTGCATTAATCAATATCGACCAAAACATTTATCAAATAATGTTTATAAAATTCAATACGAGTGAAACTGACTCGTTCCGTAAATCTAGGGTTAATTTTTACCAATTTTTTGTAGTATTTACTTCAGGTTTTCCAGCAGCTGCTGTTTAATAATAGTAAAAGATTATGCATAAAAATTTGCATAAGGTTATTAATACAACCTATTGAGTACCGAACAAGTCGTTAATTGGTTGTGATCAATTAACGAGCTCCGATGTGAATGCGATATTACGTATTTCTTTCGGTGAGCGGTTTACGAGCAATTCGCGTAGCTGTTTGCGAGTAGCTCGCGAATAATTCTCTTCAGTATGAAACAGACTTTATATCAACTGAGGTCTAACGGCGGATCTAGTCGTATGAACGTGTACGACATCCATAAACAATTATATATACACATTCTGTTCTTACAAATCCTTAAAGTTACTCTTGATCAATATTTCAATTGAATAATATGTTTATTTTTTTACTTATTATTTTTATACAGAATCAGTTGATTATTATTATACCTAATAAATTCTTAAATGAAAATTATTGTTGTAATATTATTCAAGATTGAAATAATATTCAATGAACGTGCTGTTGGTCATTCCATCGATTTAACCTCCAAGCTACATTATTTTAATTCATTCTTGTCCACATTACCTATTAAATCTAACTAGATAAAAACAACAAGAATTATTTTTATACCGAAAAAATTCGTTCTTCAGGCGGTAAAAGTGCGATCATTGTTGTATTAAAATTAAGGACTGCAAGGAGTATACACAAAAATTAATTCAGCGTTAAAACAAGTACATTATTTTCCGTGCTTGTGTATCGTTTGACGTCTAGTTGCTATGGCAATTAAGATAATAAATGCAGTGTGCGTAGCGAATAGCTTCAACAAATAAAAACTCATGCTGCAGGCAGATAAATGGCAAGGAAATGATTGTAATTTAATCGAAGTTATAGCGTTCGAGTATTGTGTACGGACTTACGACGAAACAACGAACGTAATTATTAAAATCAAAGTAAACGAGATCGATTAGGTAATGATTTTATTGAAAATCATTTACAAGTAACAAAGTATAACGATTACATTTACAAATGTCGTTAAAGGGGAATAATAGAGTTATCGTTAAGAATTCAAAAGCAACATCGTCGCACGAGTGTTTTAAAAATAACCGTCAGAATTATTAACTAATGCGCTGGAATATTACGAGGGCAGATAAGATATAATCACAATAATAACACCAAAAC